TTTTTTTTGTAGTTTGTGACAAATGTATATATTCCTAGTTGTTTTTAACCTTGAATTTGTATACATATTTTATTTTTCATACTATATACATATATATTTATTTTACTGGTTCTTATTTTTCCCTTTTGTCTTTTAGAACAACCTTATGAGCACACCACGTTTTGTCATTTGACTACACATATTACTTATGTATGCATGTGCAAAGGACAAATATAACAATGTACAGTACATTACCAGGCACTATCACTGTATACATTAGCATCTTGTACTTTCTCTATCCCTCTTCTAGCCTTTGGCTCTACATGCATTCAAATGTTACGGCTTGAGATAAAAAGGTGTTGTAACAGGCAAGAATCACAGTTTGTGTGTGTGTGGGTGTGTTAATGATTACATGCATGACTTTGTGTGATTAATGTGTTTGCGTATGTGGGGCAGAACCATCCTAAAGGTTGTGCTCGGAGGCAAATGCCTGTGACAATTGCAGTTTTGGGCTCAAACACGCACACACATCTCCTTCCATTAAATCCCAGGGACATTAACAGCAGCCTGCAGCCATCGCTTTAAGCTATGCAAGAAATGTTTTAAAATATAACACAGTGAAGAGCCTGCCTTGATTTTTACCAGCACTTCCATTTTCAGTGATGTGGTTAGACTGTGTGTATGCGCAGGCATGACTGTCTGTGTTTCATCTTGTATAATATAATCCTGAACAATGTCTGCACTCGAGTTTGTTGTTTCAGGTCACTGTGAGTCCCTTAAAGGAAAAGTAACCCTTTCTTAACCGTTGCTTTACCGGAGAGCAAAGTTACTGTTTGTTAAATGTCTAACGTAGTAGCTAATATGATAGTTAGTAGGAAAAATATGATAACAATGATCGCTTACTGGATAGGGAATAGAATTTGCTACAGAGAGAGATTCAAGATTTCAACTTGACATTTAGTTCATTTGAAAAGTTGTAAAAAGAAAACTTAAGCTCCTCTGGCACTTGATTGCAAAAGATTTGGAGTGTAGATGTTTTGGTTTGCAAATCATTTACAGATCTTGAGAAAACACATTTAGACACTACATTTTACCTTATAGACATTTACATTCCAGTCATTTAGCAGACAAGAAACTGAACCAGGAAAACAGCAGAATAAACTGTAATTCGGGTTCTGGGATTGAAGAAGAAATGGAAGCAACTAAGATTAGGGTCAAAAATCAAAATCAAGGGTTAGAAACAGTAGTGGGAGTTCTTTACCACTCAGTAGTGAGGAAATACATTTACTTAATCCACATGTCTGCCATGTTTTATTTCAATTATACATCCTAATGGATTTCCCTACTTAGTGTACAACAGAACAGTAAAACTATTGGAAAAAGTTCTTAGTAATTAAATTATATAATGAAGTTATTAATCAAAAATGGCGGAGAAGCTTTACATAAATCAAACGCAGATGAAAGCCAGGAAAGTGTTTTACCCTGAAAAGCAGGCGAGCAATGGCGCTCTGTGCCAGGCAGAGAGGTGTCCAGAGGTGGCGATAGAGCGCAGTATCCACCATGCCAGGATCCACAGCACATGAACTCAGTGGGAAACCTCCACGCTGCAGCTCCTGGTGGAGGTGGGAACTAAATAACAGCTGGGCCAGCTTACTGTGACAATAAGCAGCATGGGCTGAATAACACTGGCTGAGGAGAGAGAGAGAAAGCAAATAAAACACTGTGAGACTTGTAAATGAAAAAAAAAAAAAAGAAATGTGCCTCTGTTTAAAGATAAAAGGCTGGTAAACAGCTGTTGGGGTTTATTTGGTCAGTTTTGTTCATTTCTTTCGAATCAACTGTTTTTCCATGTAAGAAGAACCTGTACCTCTGAACAAGGACAAGTTCTTCTTATAGTGGAAACTTAACAAGGCCTCTCTGAATCCTCCAAATTTGGCATACAAGGACAGACAGTGTCATCGTTGTGACAAATCTGAAACCAAGCCCAGACAACATCATTTGACTGCAGAGCCGCAGTGCCAGCAATTTACAAAGTTGTACGGCTCAGAACTGGCAGTTCCAATCCAACCTGTGCCACCTATCTTCAATAAATGTAACAGCAACAGCAACCGCAGTTCAGACCTGCATAAATCCTGATGTACGCCATCTACAGGAAAGGAATCTTCAATTGTGACACCTGCCAGGCAGTGAATACTACATTGCAGCCTGCTAGATGACTTACAGCTCACATTTTCACCCTGCAAAGTAATCTTAAGTAATCTTATCACTGTGGTGTCATCAAAATGATTTACACATCTGTTGATTGTTTAAATGGTTGATGCACAATATTCCATACAATATTATACTGATATCATGTGCACAAAGCTCGTCCCACTGAAACACATCTGTGAAACAACAGTAGACTGTTTGAGTATTTAATATACACTTGAGGATAATGATGTTGACACACACAGCTATTACTTTCCTTCCATCTTGTTGACGATACTGACACGTCCACATCTACATGTCTCAACTGTTGCCATGCAGTAGCTGCCTGATATCAGAAAGAATTTCAACTCTAGTTCCATCTTCAGTCTGACATTACCTTCGCTCTTACTAATTTCCATGGGGGAGGGACATTCGATTTTTCCTAAACAATCACTAGAGACCAATGTATCCGCCTGAACATTTTAAGTCCACACTGATGCGTAGCTATGCCAACATACTTAACCTGGGTGTTAAGATCGAAGTTAAAACAAACAACAATGTCAGGCACTACTGAGGCGACATGCTGTCTAATTAAATAAACGTGTTAATCAAGGGGGTTGCATTATTACTCCTACTTATTTACAGCTTGACAACGCTTGACAACAGTTTGACAATGGCAGTAGTCCCGTTCTTGGCACTGATTGGCTAATTGCTTGCAGCGCTCATTGGATAATCGCTTTTTCAACCGAGAAACTGCTGTTTCGTGACATGATGCCAGAACAGAATCAGTCAACTCGGTGGAGCGGGCATATTCAAATGTCGGGACCAAGGCTAATACAGTAGGTGAGTTTTTCAAATAGCTACAAGGTAGTAACATTAGGAACTTCACAATTGAAGTACAATAAACTCCTGTATCAGAGTCTCGTGTTTTAGCCTACCTTACATTTTAATGCCTTTCTGCGTCATTTGTGATGTGAAAAGATCAGATTTCAAAAGAGAGAGAAAGTAGAAGCGTGAGTCCTGCTCATAGTTGAGTCCATAAATCCCAGCGTACCACTGAGCATCCCTCCTGCCAGACTGCTGACAACGCTGTCAGACGAAAAGTCAATCACAGTGGAAGGCAATAGAGGAGATTGTACCGCAATCTGGTTTAGACGACTTTCACTGACAGTCTTTACTGAAGCGACTCTTCTCCTCTATGACCCTTCTGGGTGGTTTTTTGGTCATTTTGAGACTCAGTTTGTAAAGTTTACAGCCTGCCGTGCTGTTGCTCATGCATTTCTCTGTGTACAATGACGCAACTAAAAATTAAAATGTCGACTCAGAGTCTTCTCGACTGATGACTCGAATCGAATCAAGTTTTCGGGGGCAGCGCTAAACAATAATAAATGAATAACCTGCATAGAGGATGTTAAGTAAATTAAATTAACATAATATTTTCTTTGTAGATATGTATGACAAATTACTTGCAGTCCATTTATGATTTTTGGATCAAATTATTATATTATTTTCTATTTTCATAAAATGTTGTGAAAGGCTGAGCTGGCATGAGCCATAGCCCACCGCTAAGGTAATGCAACAACACAATGAAGATATTCAGGCTGCTAATGCTTCTGGACAGTGTGCTGCTAGCTGGAATGAGACTGATCCAACTGGAGCCAATAGTTGCTCACCTAATGCCAACAGAAAATCAGAGCATTGTGTTGCCAGCACAGAGGAAGTGCAGGTGAGTGTGACAAGTTGGGGCTTGAAATGTTTTTTTAAACAACAAAATTAAGGGATAATTCCTGTATAATACATCTGTTCTGTGGTTTTGTCCATAGAGGTTTGTTTTATATATTGCCAGCCTTGTTATATATATTTTATTGTGGTCATGACTGCTACAGTGTCTGTGTGTGTGAGCCTACCTGCTATTTAGGTCATTTAGTCTGATCTCGCCGATGCGGTGGGCAGAGGAGGAGACGTTGACCACACGGGAGAAGTAGCCACATTTCCCAGAATCCTTCAGTGTGTCCAGTAGCAGCCAGGTCAACAGGAAGTGGCCTAGATAGTTCACACCAAAGTGCTGCTCAAATCCATCCTCAGTACGGCCATCGGGAACCAGCATGACACCAGCTTGGCACACACAAAAATACATTTCAGCGTTTGGAGTTTAATATTCCTAAGTAATAATATTTTTTTTTTAGGAAGGCCTGATGTGTCTGAGGCATCAGGACAGAAGCACACAAATAATGCAAACATATGCACAGGTCATATCCTGTATATCCTGTACCATAAGGGTCTCTAATGTGTCAGCAGTGATCAGCACAGAGATCATTATGTGTGTTGTGTTCTTTGTGGTATATATCTCTATAGGACCTTTAACTGGCATGTTGCTTCTGTTTCAGTCATACAGAGTATATACATATCAAATGGGTGGCTGAAATACTAAACTGGTGCAAAGTATCTCATTAAGTGTTTATATTACTTTAAAACAATACTACTACTATGCTACTAATGCTTTAGACCAACACAATGTTGATCTTACAGTACTTTCAAAAAGGCTGAAATATACTGCATGTAAAAGATTTTTCAGTGAGCAGAATGTAATGCTTTAAATCCTTTTAAACTCAGTCAGGTGACAGCATCTAAATTACACTGGAATGGAAGGATTTTGCTGAATACTACACGGACTACTCTACATATAGAGTATACAGATGAAGAACATGACATCTTCACCACTCACCATTATTGACCAGAATGTTTAACGGCAGGTCCCGCTCCTTGAAGCTCCGGACAAATTGACGGACAGACTGCAAAGAGGCTAGGTCCAGTTTCATGAACTCCACTGGAATGGACACACACACACACACACACAGTGGCACACACATCAGAGCCATTGTAAACGGATTATTTCTGCAAGCAGTAAGACATCAAAGAGTGTATTAATCATCTCTTACAGCAGGCTCGCTGGGTTCTTACAGTACAATACTGGCAGCGCTACGCTTTTGTTGCTCCGGCACTTCATATCAAACTTAATACTTCTTCCTGAGCTCCATCAAAGCTTAACACACTGTTATATCAGGTCTAATGTATGATAAGACACAGGTAAGAAAGCAATGCCCAGGAGCTGGTATCATCAGAGCATGAAAGTGACTCTGTATGCTTAAGTGTAAGTGTATGTATGCAGAGAAATTACTTAGGTGATGCTGAACACTTTCTATACATACTTAAAACCTTGACAGACACACAGGACATCTACTTATGTATGAAGAGTGTAAATGCTCAAGCAGCACTACTATTGTAATACCTGTAGAAGTATGACAACAATGCAATTAGACTTAACTATAGTCAACAGATGATATACTGTAAATTTGTCACGCAATACTGAGTTGAGTTATTACAGTGTATTTACTCCGGCACCATGTTTGTGTGTATGTATGAATGTAAATATGCATGTCTATCCGTACACTCATTTAGCTTGCTATCTGTCTACAGAATGTGTGTTATGACTGAAGGTGACCGCTTCATGTTACATAGAAGAGCACTACCACATCTTTATTAGTTCTATGCTACTCTAAAAACTATTTCCTGTTTCTGAGTGATTTAGAAAAGTTTTCAGAGAACGTCTGAGTGAGGAATCGACAAGAACTTTCTCCTCTTGGCAGAGGTTTAATCTAGGTGTCTTTTTTTCCAGGTATACCGCGCGTAACACTCTTGTGCCTCTTTAATCAGCCCAGCTCTGAAGCTTTCTATTTTACTTCAGTTTTAGTCCTTCCCTGCCTAAGGATGTTCATCTCCCTTTTCCCAACAGGCTCTCCCATTGGTGGAATGACCTTCCCAATCCACAGGACTGTCCTTGCCAATCTTAAACAGCAAATTGAAATCTCATCTCTTCGAGAAATGCTTTAAATTGTGCCCTGCATCCTTTTCTGCATTCGATTTCCTAACACATTCTAAGAATGAATAAATACTGCATGTGCTGTTTGTAATGTTTGCAGTGTAACACTATCAAGACTATTAAACATATTTACTGAATGGTGTTCCTTTGTTCCATATTTCAATTTGTTTTTCTTTAGTTTGGCAGGAAACCATAGACTTAAACCACACAGCTCTCTAACATACTCCGGATGTGCAGGTGACAGGTGTAATATTCTATATCACAGCATCAGAGCAAGCAATGAGTCTGGGATCAACAGTGAGAGAGTAAACAATGAGAAACCAGGAGGTCATCCATACTGACAAGTTTGCCTCAAAGTGCTCCATTCACTTGTCTGAACCCTGATATTTTAATAATACTGTCACCCTACCTGGATATGTAAATACCCTTGGCTCATTTTGGGGTCTGAATGACTTTTTTAGTATCTCACAAATCCTTTTGGGATAAACAGCTGCTGCCAAAGTATTAAAACACGAGTGTACAGCCACCATACAGAAAAAAGACAAACATCAACAAAATAATATAGTGTCCCTCCCTATAACTCCAGTAAGCCTGTGTAGGGTCAAATATAATAAACACAGACAGGAAGAGGACTGAGAGACGGGCGGAAGGAGAGTTGATGGAGCTGATAGGAAAAAAAGGCAGTTGTGACAGATGAGAGTGCAGCCGTCCCCGATGAACTCCTGATAGCAGCCTTATCTTCAAGCCATGCCACTCACCTCCTGCTGAGTGTGTGTGTGCCTGTGTTCTTGTGTGTGTGCAAGACAGAGAGTGGGAGAAAGGAAAAGAAAGACGGAAGCGGAGAAAGAGAGTGTGTGCATTTGAATGACCTTAAGCACAATTGGATTGTATATATACCAGCAAATAAATGTGCATTAGCCAGAGAACAGATATATGTGTGTGTGTGTGTGTCCCGCCTGTCAGTCCTCTCCTGTCTTCTTGAGCTGGCTCCCTTGAGGCCGGGTCCTTTCAGATAGGCCAGTCATATCTAGAAAGCCCACTGGGAGCGAAATGCCATCGATCGGGCATGGTCCTGCTGCTGCCAGCCGTCAATTAAGACCCCAGGATCTTCTATAAAACTCGGCTTCCTCGACTCAATAGTCAAACACACACTGACTGTGTTTTTGTTACAGAGGAATTACTTGAAACTGACGACAGGAACTGGCCTTGGAGACACGCTGTTTGAGACCCTCTGGATCTATTCACAGTCCCATTTCTAATTTATCATAATTGTCATTTGACAATGACATGTTAACTTAACTTGTTAACTGAAAATCAATTTTGACTTAACGTAATAGCGAAGTGGGTTTGAGTCTTTTATTATAAGTTAAAGTCGTTCAATAAAACAGGGAAAGTATAAAGGCATAAGGATAAATAAAATTATATCATTTATGCGTCCTTTGTTTATGTAATGACACATTATATCAGTATGATGTTCGATGAGTTATCTACCTCCTCCTGACCAATTGGTGTCACCGTAGGAAAAGCACAGGCGTAAATAATAAAATGAACGATGGCAGAAATCCATTTAGCTGTTTCAATTTCAGGGTCCTGGTATTGTGCATGCTGGCTCACAATCACAATGTCATGACTTACTGGGACAGAATAGAACAGCTCCATTGTTAATGTAATTAGTAAAACCTGTGCTTTTTCTTACCACTTCTAAGTCAAAACGTCAAAAAACTTTGTTACGGTCCCCTTTCTCTACCTTACTGCTGTGCTTTTTGGTGTTAATTCCAAACAAAGACACTTGAATGCACTTATGTCACATTCATGACTTGTGAAGTCTTGAAGGGGGCAGAAGTCAAGGGATGGTTTCATGGAAGAATAACGATTTCTAACTCTGCTTCTGAGCTTGTGGACCATCACCTTGCCTTTCCCCTTTCCATTTCCCTCTGCTACACAAACAGCTCTGTCTTCGCAGCTCAACCAGTTGTTCTGTTTGGATGGAAAAGCAGACGTGTGTTTGTGTTAAGCAATTGCATCTGTAATTTTGAACACTAAATGTGATTATAAATGGTTCCTGTCACATCAGTGCACAATCAGAGCCACTGTAGTACCACAAGGAAAAAAAATGAAAGCTTGTTGCAAATGAAAATTGAAAACTGTTTATACTGGGCTTCTATAGTTTGTTCAGCATTTAGGTGAAAGGAAAGAAAGATCAAAGAAGCAAAAAATGGTCTAACAAATCCAAATGTGTATGTGTATCAATTATCACTTCATTACGAATGTTTTGGCCTGAAAAATACGATGGAAAATTAACAGTTTTCCCACTTGAACAGTAATAATAAATGTTCAGATGCTGAATTGAAACATCTTGTGCCACTTCTTCAGTAGTTAATCCTGTTTCTTCTACCGTGTTCCAAGTGTGATTAGGTTTTGTGAAGAAGTACAAATGCACTCTAGGAGTTGTTTTTCCAGCTAGGCTTAAGCATACATCAGTAGACGTCCACGAAAATCTCACTTTTACATACTCACACTTACATTTTCAACACAGATTGCCTGGAATACGAGCACAGTCTACATCCTGAACAGCAGGTAATTAATATGTAAGTCGGCTAATGCCCATGCCTAATACTCATAACTCATGCTGGTGCTGTAGCATCTTCTTCTGCTCTATTTTTTGGATCTTTGCAGAAAGGAATACGTTTTTAAAAAAGCAATAACATTTTTTTTAAAAATGATGAGGGAGGACTGCCTGCTTCTCTTACCATAAATCCCCTCTTTCCACCTGGCTTTAACATGCATCTTGTGCCCTGATTGTGACTACAGTAAATATGATTAAGCTGGATTATACCTAAATCTGATATTAAAATGCATCGCTGGTAGACACATCAAATTCCTCTTCTGCTTGCCAAAAGGCCAGATGCTTTAAAATTGACAGTAAACACCTTGAGATGTAATTAAATGTTTTACTGTCAGAGCTCTCCTTATTGTTTTGGTGGTCAAATATGACCATCTTCAGATGTGTTTGGATGATCAGTTTTATTTATTTTTGCTTTAAATACAACACCGTAAAAGATGACTCCAAAGTCATTTGCCAGAATCTTAAGCTACATGTAACGTTCTTGGATCACATCCTGCTACAGCTACACCTTCCCTCTCTCCCAATTTACAATACTGTCTAAATAAAAGATTGAAAATACAAAAGGATGAATGGACTGTGCCCTCTGAAAGCACCTCTCGTGAGACAAGGATACAATATAAATTCTTTCACTTTGAGCTGACTGATAAACAACACAGTGATGCCCAAGAATATTAGGTCTGGGCCTCGTGCCAGGGTTAGCTTCTCCACAGACACTTTTATTCACCTGATGTGCCCCAGTCAACTCCAGCTTGTAGTGTTAAAGGGATGATACTCTCCCAAGTCAAGTCAGCTGTAAATCTAAAGTGAATTTAGATTTACAGCTGATAGTGTAAGGCGGTCTTACACACACGAATAATACAGCACCAATACCAATACATTCTAATATATTTTATCTTTTATGCACACACAATCACTAAGAAACACCACAGCTTTTCACAAATGCACACAAAGCCATGCTCATATTTCCACAAAAACGTATTTCTTTGAGGTAAAAACGCACTCTAACAGGGTCAGTACTTTAAAAACTTTCAACTTAGAAGTGGATGGTTTAATTACTTTTATGACTGAACTGAATCAAAACAAAGTGGACTAGAAATTATGTTAATTGGAGTGAAAGAGCTTAGGTAAAATAACAGTTTTTGTAGGAGGGGAGCAGCTGTGTTACCTAAGCGAGGGGAAATTTTGTGTGTTAAGCAGACAAACACACACACACACAGGTTCCCTTGCTTCACACTGTTAATCTAGGCCTATGGTTTGAGGCACAAAGTGTTACTTTCAAGTGCACCGTGACTAAAGTTAGTGGACAGACAGCACTGCCTGTGGCAAAAATACAGAAATACCCTGTATCTGCATGTGTGTGTACGTGTTTAGAATTTAAAGTGAAATGCTTTAAGCCTCATTGACGAAAGCCCACTTGCAGTCTAAAGACATTAGCATTTTTCCGACAGGATTGTACTCAAGGTTTTCTAGGGATAGTACCTTTGATACACCAGGCAATACACTGTACCATGAGACCAAATGGGGCCAAACACATCTTTATACATTTATATGTAAAAATACACACATACATGCAGTGTCTACACTACTATATAGTGACTTCTTTTTGGACATAGTTGAACCAAAAAGTAAGCCACATTTTAGTTTTACACTAAACTATAGTCAAAACTATAGTAAATGTATGGTAATTTTGAAAGAAATGCTATTTTAGAATCAAGTCTCCTGTACCCTAAATTCATCTGAGTGCCAGCTAATAATGTATGTTCAGGATTAGATTTTACCTCATTAAAACACTTTAAGGGAATACTTCAATATTTTGGGAAGTATGCTTATTTCTTGCAGAGAGTTAAATGAAAATAGTGACATTACTTTCATATCTGTCTTTCAAAATGAAGTTGGAGTTAGGGGACAGTGAGCTTAGCTTTGCATACAGACTGGAAACAGTGGGAACCAGCTAGCCTGGCTCTGTCTAAAAATAAAAATAGAAATCGCCTACCAGCACCTCTAAAGCTTACTTACTAAGGTTATATGTTGTTTGTTTAATCTCTACAAAAACAAAAAGTTTACGGGGTTACGTGTTGGACTATTTCTTGGCCGGGAGCAGTGACTTCCTACAGTCACCACTCATAGTCGCGACAAGTTAAGCTAACCGGCTACTGGCTGCAGCTTCATATATAACAGATATTAAGAGTGGTATCAATCTTCTCGTTTAAATCTGGGCAAGAACTGTCAAACCATTCCTTTAAAGGAAAATAGATGTTGGCATGTGCAGATGACTGGATTTGATAGCCAGCAGGTTGCCCTGGAGGTAGATCTCTATGCTATGCTGTTTACTACAGTAGCTAATTTGGGGGGCTAATTTCAGTGTTTACTTTTGGTCAGACTTACAGTTATACGTTATTTTATCACAGAAGCATTTCCCAAATCTCTACAACATTGGTGGCAAGTTAGCATGATCATTCTAATTAACCAGAACTATCATAATTATAGGAATTAAACCTAGTGTTCAGAAAACCCCCTCTAAAATTCTATAAAATATGTTAAGATACTTTATAGTGAAATTAAATTCTTTGTCATTGCCGATACCTTGAAAGCCCCTAAAGGACCTCTACAACAGTCCACAGATCCCCGGTTTGAGAACCACCTCTGCAGCTCACATGTATATTATGAGCTGTCCCCCATTTCTCACAACAGACAAATGTGCAAACACTAGGAAGGATGCCAAAGGGCGTTTGGAGAGAGATGTTTAAAGCTCCTGCCTCACATACTAATGAGAATCCATTACTGTCTCATTCAAACACACACAAACACACACACACATCAACACATTCTTATTCAACGCACAAGCATCTGGCTACAGACACCCCCCCTTGTCCCCTATGCCTCAGTGCCTGCCAATTACAAAAGAAGTAATCAATTCCACCACGGCCCCGTCCAGGGAAATCGACTTCAATGACACCAGCTACATGGCCGCTGTCTCTGTACCTGACAGCCACTTACACACAAGCAGGGCCCCAGCCAGCCGGCCCTCTGCTGCTCTCCACTGCAAGGCCAGGCAAGACAAACCACATCACTTCATTCAGTATCCCAGACAACCTGTACTAACTCAGCTCCACCAAGGAGAACTTAGGAAGTACTAACCTATACAGTTACAGCAGGTTTGCTATTATCTGATGATCAGTGTTTTACTCACTGTAGTTTGACTTTACATGTATTAAATTAACTCTTCAATGGTAAATTTAAGCTTAAATGGTGATATGCTCATCCTTACATTTTTGGTAATAATGCATTACAAAAATAAGTAGAAGCTTTCTAATTTTAAATTACAAGAGAAGGAAAATTGTGTATTTAGGAGCAGTTGTATGGCCCCGGCAAGCAGTCAAGTTTTGGTTTATATCCATGTCTGTCTAGACTCATATAATATATGTGCTGAAGACTTTGAAGGAATTATATATTAATAAGAGAAAGTAAATTTTGTCTAGGAGGAAATTATCACTATATTGATGATACATATGTATGATTTCAGTGAATATACACTTTTGAACTGATTAATGGAAGATTATTATAGATATATTGGCTAGACAAGTACATATGTACTTGATTACCATGTAAACATGGTTTCTTATATAGAGTATAGCTGTACAAAATGTGTTGGTTTCTGGCATTTTTAGATGCGATGGCTGTCTGTGAGCTGTGGGTGAAACTCATTTACTCACTCAAAGGATCACAATTCGCTAGGTGCGGTCCGGTACATTGTTTGCATGATTCTGATGATGCTTGAAATTCAGAATGAGGCATTAAGTGAAAGGCAGACTGGATGAGTTGGAAAGATGAAAGCCCGTACTGTACTAGATTTTGTTTACTCGTACTTGTTTTGCCGAGCGTGAAATCTGGAATCGGCAAATTCATTCTAGAATTATGGCTAAAAACCTATTTGAGGTCACAATGACATTTGACCCCAAAGTGTCACCACCAATGCAGTGTCTGACCAACTGTGAAATGTATCTAAGTTCTCCCCTTTCTGCTCCTGAGTTATGGTGTCGAATAATGGCCAAAAAAAGGACATTATGATGTCACATTGAAGTTGACCTTTTGGATAGAAAATGTCGTCACTTCATTGTTGTATTCCATTAAACGTCTGTGTGAAATTTGGTCATAATTCTCAAGGCCATTTTGAGGTCACTTTAAGTCCTCCTCCTGTATTAGTGTTTTGCAGTAAGCATTCCTCTTTTGTACTTTGACTGTCAGTAAGGTCATTTAACTGAGGACATAGCTGTGTTTATTAAATCACTGTATTTTCAACAGCCTAACATGCAGAGATCAGAGAGGTCTGGTCAAGTTTGTGTGTGTACTGAAATATCTTTCAACTTTAACAACAGATTTCAAACACCGCACCATCTGGCTAGCGTGAAATATTAACAGTTTTGAACACACTACTATATTAATTAGAACCAGCTTAGGTAGATCCATTGCCTGTTTTAGTGAACATAGCTTGCCAGACTGCCTCCTGTCAGGGCAGACACAGCAGGAAGTGTGCAGGAGCTTGCCAATGACACTCAAATGTTGTAACACGATGGACCGTTACAAAATGTTCTAAAGGGATGCAAAGCTGCTACTGGTATATGTCTATGTGGACTTCTGGGTATGCTGCGTTCACACATACACATTAAAGCAGTCTCATGAAACTCTGTGTGTGTGTTGGACTGAGTAATTTACATACTCTACTTTATATTCAGTTGTGTTAATGCAGTACGCATTACGGAAATTATTTTAGTTTAACAATGGTGCCTGAGATGGAAAGACTCTGTGCTTCTGCTTCTGTGTGTATTAAAACAAATAATATTGGCTCTCTGGTGGTTGTCAATCATAGCATTGTGTCGGAGGACATAAAGTTGAGCTTTTTCTCAACTTTCCCCTGTATTGACGCTGGGTGCCTTTTACATCTCTGTAGCTCAGCGGGTTGCCAGGTCCCGTTCACAATGAAAAGCAGCCTATAACTCTCCCTGCTTTTGGGTCCGTATGTCTAAATAGGTGTAAGGGTAAAAATATGTAATGTAAAGTTTCAGTTTGCCATTCAAATCTCAATCACTGATAATTAAATAATTGCATTACAACAGATCTCTGAACATCTCCTGAGGTAAACAGCTGCTGACAAGCCTTGCAAGGTACAAGGCCATTTGGTACAGAAAAGAATAATTTATGAGGTTTTTTAATCATGAGACTATGGTGGAATTTATGGTGCTGTGAAGGTCAGCCGAATCAATTTCTCAACATGAGACTTACAGAGAACACTGTAAGCTTTAGTCAATGGAGTAATAAATCTCTTCGCTGCTATCATTTGTCTCCTCCCATCTCCATCACCTCCATTTTCCTTCCACCTAGTCTTTCTTCCCCCTCTTTTATTGTACTATATTTGCCCATTTTTCATGTTCTCTTCACCCCTAAGCCTCTCGCCTTCCTCTCTCACAGTTTGCTTGACTTATCTCCCATCGTCTTCTTTTCGTAGCCATTTTCCCTTGTATCCTCCTCTTCCTTTCGGTGCATCAACAACAAGCCTGACATTGTAAAGCCAGCGTGGAAGCTCTGTGTGTGTCTGTATGAGTGTATACCTGCAAGTGTGCAATTATGTGTGTGTGTGTGCTGTGCCTAGGAAAGGCTGTAAAAACAAGCCGGAGGGACACACTGCTGCAGCTCTGCCCTTTATCTTCTAACACTGGCATACAAAAACAACTACACACACGTGTACATGTGCATGTTTGTGCATATGGTCTCAGAAATGTTCACAATGTTACCTTTGGCCTCTTTGTACTCTTCACAGATCCTTCTGACGGCTGCCAGACCCTCCTGTTCATCCCTCCCACCTGAAAGAGGAGACATACACGCAGATTAATACAATATCTGACAAGCCCTTAGAGGTCTTTCATAAAATAATACTGATTCTCCTCTTTTTGTCAGTCCTGTGTTCTTTCATCATGTAAAAACGTATTTCCAACAAAGGGTTTTCAAATGAAAAGAGTACTTGATTGGTCATTTAGCCCTTGAGGAAGAGCAGCAACTCTGGTTTCAAAGACTTCACAGTACTTTAAAAATACAGTTAATTATACCATCACATTTGCATAAGAATAAAAGTAAGCCTGGTGGCAAATTACACTATGATTCAAGCAATATTGGCAAGAAATAGAAAACATCCACTACACCAAATATCAATCCAAGCAGAAGTAAGGATTTTCACCCTATTAAAGTAACATAAAGTGCACTCATTTTACAATAGGTGTACAGTATTAAATAAATACCTAGTGTGTTATAAGGTGTTCCAGAAACAGAAACTATGTGTCAACAAACGTTGATAAATTTACTTTTTAAAAATGTTTTAAAATGCTCAGATGCCCTGGTGAAAGATACAGTCATTGACTTAATGACTCTAGGACCCACTCTCTGTTCACAGAGGATGTCTGCATACAAATAAACCCTCACCTGCAGAGGAGAAAATATTCAGAAATGGAAGGTGAAAATATGAGAAAGACAAATGGAGGAGAAAGAGAGCTGCTGTCTAATTTACTGACCCTTATTTTTGGACACACCGACAAACACACAGACAGATAAATCTATACTCTCTCTGCCTACAAATCAGTTCAGAAAATTTGTCAATTAAGTGATTAATAATAATAATAATAATAATACATTTTATTTACCGGTAATCAATCGATAAAACATTGATTGACAAAACAATAAAACATTACTTCTCAAATGCTGCTTACTGACACACACACACAGGCGCTGCAAACACTCTTTTCCCCCCAAACTAATGCACACAAATAGCCTACATGCACACTCTCATTTTCTCTCTGCACACACACAGAGACACACTAATCTTGGATTATCACGCAGGCCTTTTTCAAGGGCACAGCATCATTTACCCTGATGCATTGTGGTTCAGGCTTGGCTGAAGGATGCGGCTCTTCCGGGCAACGTGTCAAAAGGGTCACACAAGCGGCACAAACACGCAGTGAACTCACACAAATGCATTCTTTCTTAGACAAATTGTTGCTCTTCAACAGGCATCTCTGCTTATGAACCAAGAATTCTGCACAGCGACACATTTCTGCACAACACCGTTTGGTCAACGTTCTTCTTTAATAACAGCCTCTGATTAGAAATATGCCCCGAGGTATTAATTTGCCCACTAAATATTTTGGGTTGGGGGTTCAAAATGTAACCTAATTAATTTGCTTAAATAATCTTGCTGCAGCCAAACAAATAGATAAACTGAGCGTGACACAGGGTAAGAAAATCCTAACATACAGGTCATACTTGGAAAATTATACTCACACCTGTAATAAATTCAATATTAATCTCATATCACTGTGTTAATTAAAGAGCTGGATACATAACTAAATGTTAAAGTCTTCTACGTACAATTTATTATGTTTGTTTAACTTGCAATACAACAGATCTCAGGTTTTAGTTAGCTATTTCTTGACACACAATATCTCTGGTTATAGTGTGGGTTGCCTGATATGGTCATTGACATAGGTTTTAGGTTTGGTCTTTCGTATACAGTATACTGTAAGCATGATGATGGTATCAAACCTGGCAACTTCCCTTTGACAACAAGACTTTTAAATGGTGCATGCGCTCTTGGCTGTTGTTTGCAAAGGAAAAAAAAGCTCCAGCATATATATCTATATTATCTAGCTACGTATATCGTATGATATATCTATATCTATATATTCTATATATATCTATGTATAATATCTATTATCTATATAATCTATTACATATCTATAATCGTATATATTTATATATATCTTATACTACTACATATATTATATCTTATATCTCATATCTATATCTATTATATCTATATCCTATATCTAATCGTATCTAGTACATATCTAATCTATCTATAATTAGTTATATAATCGTATATTACTTAATATCTATATTTATATAATCAGTATTCATATCTATATATTCTATATTTATATATATCTCATATCTATATATTCTATATATCTTATATTTATCCTAATCTATATCTTATTATATATAGAGATATATAGATAGTATAGAGTATCGTATATGTAGTATCATATATATATATATACTGTGTTTATTGTTATATATATATATTTTTATAGTACTGATGATACCCTATATCTACCTATTACTATACTACGCTACCTACTCTAGTATCGTATATCTAATTACTAGTATCTCCATTATTTACACACATATATTTATACACACACATATATTTATATGTGTTCAGCTTTACAGGTACTTTTGAACTCAGGAAGAAACGGCCTCCAGTCTTTATGCTAAGTTAGGCTAAACACGTCCTCACTCCACCGTTGTCCTTAAAATTGGCACTGAAGGCATCGTTTCACTTTTGTAAAGAAAACATGTTCTCCAAAATGTGGAACTATTCCCATAACTGTAAAATCTGGACTTTTAAGCTAAAGAACTTCAATTCTAAAGGCAAACTTTGTAGCATTTACAAATACTGATTGCATTGTCAGATCAGTTGTGATGTCTTGCTGAGTTTGTAACTACGTTCATCCTCATGAATTTTTATGGAAAGCAACACATTGTAAACACAGTGGCGCACAATGAAAAGCTCAGAGTTGGGGCTGGTAGAGGTTGTTTTGTTGTGATGGTCTACGGCTGAAATAAATGCCTTTTACAGCAGTGTAAAGACAGTGAGCAAAACACAAGATACTGGTGGTGTAATTGACAGCTTATGGTGAGAGCAAATGACAGGCAGCAGGGGAGATAGTCGCAGGAATCACAGACGTGATGGATGGAAATTAAAGTTTATGAGTCAAAAGTTGAAGCACAGAAAGAACAGCCTCCCCGACACAAAAATAATAAACAGCCTCCCCGACACAACAATAATGATATTGTCTTATGACATTTCAATCAGATTTGTTTGGAAACTGTTTTTTTTTTTAAATGCTGTAGTTGATTTTGCCCAGAAGAAGGTTCTAGGATCAATGTTTTGCTAATCAATAAGTGTATGATCGGGCCGTGCAGATAATCAGTGTGCACCTTGAGGCTGTCAGATCCGGTAGACTGATGGCTTTGGCTGTAAAATGCAGTATTTTCTCATGATTTTTCAGAGAAATCGCTAACAGATTTATTCTCTAGTGGTGCAGTGAAATTTAGGCCTTCAGATTCAATACATTTTGACACATACAGGTGCTAGTAACTGAAACTTTCTTCCTCTTAGACTTCAGTTTTCTAATATTGAAATATGGCACGTGTTTTTTGCTACTAAATGACCAGGATTTCATGTAGGTTACCATTATTGTGGCTGACGTGTGTGTCCTGCTGCCCTTTCTCGGTGTGTAAGAAAGCAGCCATTTCTCTTCACTTACAAGACCTGGCTCATTGTTGGTATAAAATGTGCACATTTCCCAAGGTTAATCTGGTAAATCTGTACTTCTTGATTAATGGAACAGAAAACACTCGTTACAGAAGTGTGACTGACTGTTCACTGATAAATGTCATCAAGTCTCATCTAACAAATCAGGCCCTCCGGAGACTTTTTCGTCTGGTAAAGCAAATGCAAAATAATGTAGATTTAGAGGACAAAGATGATTTCCTTTGTGAGTGCAATTCATCAATCCCCCTTTATCACAATGTGTTAGTAAACCCAGTGCCAACCTCGTACCTTTCATAAAATCATAAAATGGGGAACAGGAGACAAGAAATCTTCAAATACTGATTTCTTTAGGATATCTGAATTACAAATTTAATTGGAAATGAAAATATTACATCCAATTAGCAGAATGAAAACAGTCTGATGACTAAAAATAAAGCTTACTATATTAAATTACTTGAGAAGAAATGCATTTATACTGCACATTTGCTATTATTTTCATTCTTTTTCTTGGTAGTATATACTGGTGCACACCATGCATGTATGCTGCAATACACATTTCCAGTCACTCTCTTCACGCTTTCTTGTATTCAACACAGCAAAATGTGTCCTATTTTTATTTTAGTTTCTGTCTAAAATATATTTTGCACCTGCAACGGCATTTTCCAACACAAAGTAATTTGCGTTTTATTATCTTATCTTAAAAACACTCCAAACGGCATCATTTTGATTCAAAATCTACTCCAAAACACTTCAAGCGCAATTGCATGCCGGTTAATATCCAACTGTGGTATTTGACAGTGCAGAGGCTCCAACCATTAACTCTCCTCACACAAGCACTATGCTACCACTTCACCTGAAATATGCATCCACTCCATTATCAGAGAGGAATCCACTTTACCATAAATATTCTCACTTCATGAATTATCTCAATAGGTCGGGATATTTGAAATGGAGATACCCTCGGAATCCTGTTGGATCCGCTTCAATACACATAGGATTGTCTGGGACTGCAACAGACACTTAACGAAGTTTTTCAAGTATTGATTTTGTGTGTGTTTTCATACATAGGGCTCAAGTCTCGTTTATGTTCTGTTCAAACTGTCTCCAAGGATACTCCGACATTGACTTTGCGGTATACACACTGAATGAATAAAGCAGAGTTTTCTTCAAAGTTTTGAGGCTCGTGGACTGAATGGAAAATGCAGTCTTACCAACCAAGCTCATGAAAACATATTGCTGTTCTGTGCACAGCATCTTGGAGGTGTTAAGAGCCTGCAGTGGAAGAGGTCTTTTGTGGAAAACAAACAAAAAAACACTAATATTTTCACAGTATATGACCAGTTTTTAAGGGGTCCCTGTTAGTATTAATCACTGTCACCTCAAATGTCTGTTAGTTATTGTAGTAATGGCCTAATTGGAATGTAAAACACGTTTCCTCCTCATATTCCTCTCTGCTTGCTTGTCTGGATGTAG